TGAGTCGCCGGCGACGGCGTAGGCTGCAGCCCCTGCTGCCGTGGCCTGCCATAAGCTACTGTGTGTAGCCAGTAGCTGGCAGCCAGCGTGAGTGGCCAGCAGTGAGCTGCCAAGAGCCGTCGTGAGCGGCCATCCAGAGGCCAACGACCCATCTGCCTCACCCGGGAAGAGCGCAATGATAATACCAACATGGGCCAGTGAAGCAACGTCCTCCACAACTAGACTGAAGAACAAAAGGACAAAAAAAATATATATATATATATATATATATATATATATATATATATATATATATATATATATATATTGTCCCTGGGAATGTACAGTCCAGGAGGAAAAATCATGGATTAGAGCACTGTTAGGAGACAAATGGGCTTGTTCGTCTGAGAACCAGAAAAAAAAGTACAATGTTAATTTTGTTACCATTAAGTGTCTTTGGCAGACATTCACCAACATTCAGTTACCCAATATTACCTAACTCCAAAAAGGAAAATCAACCCATTTAGTTATCCAGGTGCATTTTGTAGCTCATTCAACCTTGGCTGGCACATTTGTAAAGCTTTGCAACTTAGAATCAACTCTTCTGGGTAAGCCCATCCATCCAAATTCCAGTTGACTAGATGAGGACAAAGATTAGGTTTCATGGAGATAGCCTGGGAGAGGAGATACAGGTAGGGGCAGTGGGCAGTCCAGAAGCTTAAAGAATAAGTTAAACCAGAGTCTATGGGGGAAACAGAAGTACTGCAGTTGGAGAGTGCATGCGCATGCGTGCGCACGTGTGTGTATTTATATTTGGAGAAGACTGAAGATTAAGTTCAAGATTAAATAGTGTGGAGGACCAGAGCCAGGTGGAAGGAAACCATGGGAATAAGGTTGGGCAGAGTGGTTCTGGGTGGCCTTGGACGCCAGGTTTATGTTTTGCCTTTGTGGGCCAGCAGGTACATGATTGAGTTGGCATAAAAGACCAAGGATGGCTTCCAGAAAAGTTCCTGGTGTTTTTCTTTGATGTTTTCAGGTTCAAATGCTGATAAGGCTGAACCTGAAAATACTCAAACCAGTCTTGCCAAACTTCGTTATATGGAAATTAGGGGTCTCATGAGAGCACTTGGACAAATATTAGACCTGATCAAAAGTTATTTTCTGCAGAGTATCCTCGCTTATTTTGCCAGGTACCCATCGTCATGTGGAAGGCTTTTCACTTTAGGTGGGAACACCTGTTAGACCTTACTTTCACGTTAAAATACCAACTCTGATTTCTAGAGTGTATGGCTCTGCCACTAGAGAATCAGCAGTCCACAACCCTGTGAAATTAACTTTCATTCAATTCTCATAGCTATCCTGCCTAAGAGAAAATGATATTTAAGGAAGAGAGCCTATAGACATGCCATCCATTATTCTAGTTATTTGAAGCTCTATCCCCAGATCAAACACGAGCACCAGAAGGCTGCTAGATGCAAGTTCTCCTACTAAACTTATCAAGAAATGTGCAAGAACTATATGAAAAGACAATAAGCTTTATGGAAGGATGTAAAAGAAAACTAGAGTAACTGGAAAGGCAGGTTATATTCCTGAATGGGAAGACTTAGTAAGATGTCAGTTCTCCCTAAGTGAATTTATACATTAAATGACAAAAGAGATGAACATTAGGAGACTTGCTTGACTATAAAGACATAAGTCTGTATTTTTTTAAATGGGTATAAGAATGGACAAGTAAATCAGTGGGATAGAGTAAGGAGTCTGGAAGCACCTCTGAGAAAGTGAATGTGTATATGGGTACTTAATATATAACAAAGGTGTTGTCTTTCAAATTAGTGGGCAAAGAGTAGACTGTTCAATAAATGGAAAAAATAACATTAGATCTCTGCCTTACTCCCCCTAGAGAAATGATTCTAAATGGATTAAAGTGATAATAAAAAATCCAAATTTGTTTTTTATTTATTTTTATTTTTTAAAGATTTTTATTGGGGGAAGGTGAACAGACAAGTTGCTGTTGTTTTGTTCTTCAGTCTAGTTGTGGAGGACGTTGCTTCACTGGCCCAAGTTGGCACCATCATTGCGCTCTTCCCA